CCCTATATTGATAAAAGTTTGAACCACCTTGATCTATACTAATGGAAACTAAAAGTAGAATGCATTTTTTTTTTTTTTAGTTTTGTGTAAGAGTGGCACTAATTTTTCATAATGCTTCTTCCTCATGTTATCATATTGTTTACTTGAACAGGCCAGAAGCTGACAGAAGAAGAGCTTAACTTCTTGATTGCCCATGCTCATCGTCGCGTGGAACAACTTCAAAGACGACTAGCAAAACAAATGGTACGATCTTGTTGGTTGAAAAGTTTAGGAACAGAATTATGGTTGAAAAGTTTAGGAACAGAATTGTTGTTGAAAAGTTTAGGAACAGAATTGTTGTTGAAAAGTTTAGGAACAGAATTGTTATTTTCTCGTCACTTTAAAGATTGGAAACATTGGGTTTCTCTAACAATATAATGTTAGGTAAAAATGTATTATCAGCTTCACAGTTATATTGTTGCAGTTATTGTTAAGAAACTTTACTTACCAAACTAAGCCTTTGTTTTGTTGTAGTGGTCAATGTTATTAAACATTATCACTTTGTATTGTTGACAGGAAATTTTGCTTATTTGGATCTAGTATAGAAGTTAACCATTTAAAACACGATCAATTGTGTGTGAGATGAAATGTACGAAAACTTACTTTTGTACCTAATTTGAGGGAAGTGAAAATGCAGTGGTGCAGGTGTGGTCTAGTAGTTAGCGATTAACACATTTCTAAAGGGTTTGTTGTTATAAGGTAAAAATATCTCCTGCACAAACATACGCTCCAGTTTAACAGTGTGATTAACCCGTTTTGAAATAGTTATAATGTACATAGACTTAGCAGCATATATAAAGTTTAGACATGTGTATTATCTTTGTTTTTGTCAGTCATGAAAGCTGCTAGACAAGTTTTGTCATATAGTTTAAGTATAGATACCATTAAGCCTAACAGTTAAACCCAACTATAAAAACAAAATTTTTAAGATTCACTTAATTAACTTTTATTACACAATTTTTTTGTTTTAACTGATACACTGTTTTGTCATCTCTGGTGCTCCACAGGTCACTGAGCAGGAGAGGATACAGAAAGCTATGGAAAAACAGCAAGAAGAGGACAGCAAGGTTACCGATGCTCGAGTGTCCGTGGAATTAGCCAATCAGCAAAGAGAGCTAGAAATAAGTTACCAAAAAGATGTAAGTAACTAAGAATTGGAAAGTTTTGATCAGATATGAAAGGTACTTGAGCCGCATAGTAGACCTACGATAACGTTATAGATGAATACACCAAGTTATAACACCATCTCAGTAGTAGATAAAATGTTTAAATCTGAAAATATCAGAAGAGTTTTTCTAAACATTTTTTCATTTGTTGTTCTCTATTCAAATATATCTGCCCCCCAGTGGCACAACGGTATGTCTGCGGACTTACAACGCTAGAAACCGGGTTTCGATACTAGTGGTGGGTAGAGCACAGATAGACCATTGTGCAGCTTTATGCATAATTACAAACAAACAAATATATTTTGAATCCATCTAATTGCTGGAAGGACACCTACATTGCGATCTGAGTATTTTATCGGTTGTACTTGTTCAGGTTTCCAGATGAAATGTTCTAACCAATTGCTAATCTGCTTCTCTGTAGCAAAAAGAAAATATCTAATGTGACACAAATTGTTTCCACAATCTTTTATCATCTTTCTAAACAAATTGTTAACTTTTCAAATAAGTGTTGTTGTTTTTTAAGTGGATTTTTTTTCCAGTAATTAAACTCCACGTACTTCTTCTGGCATTTTTCCTGATTTCAAAACGACGTTTTGTGGTCCATGCCCAGTCCTTCATCGGGACTCCAAAATGATGTCATTTCAAAATAACAAAAACATGTCAATTGAAGTAAATAGAAAATTCAGTCCACATTTTGTTTTAGTTGTTTCTTTAATGGCTTGAGTTTGTTTTTTTTCAAATAGTATCATTTAGTTTTAAGAATTTTGCTCTGGAGGCCTATATTTTGTTTTCACAAATGTTGACTGGTGATAATTGATTTGTTCTTAATCTGAGTTATGATAATTAGTAAAGGTACTTCCCATGCCAGGTTCTTCATGTATCTTGTTGGCTTCACGTGCATGTACACTTTTAATCGCCTCTTCATACACACACAGAAGTTAATGTTGGAGGGTGGTCCCAAAAGTGAGAGAAAAGGTTTGGTTTTTTTTAGGGGGGGCTTCTCAGGACTTGCTAGAAACTTCACAAGAACATGTGCATTTTTCTATAAAACAAGGTGTCCAAAATTTTTATTTTCCCTGAATCTTGCACTTCCTCCCTCCCCCTTTCCCGTTACTCAGTGGTACACAATGAGAATCTGGATTTCCTATTGTAGTAGAATTTTCTTATTAACCAAACGTGATTTTTGACGAGTCTTAAAAATAAGTATTTATTGTTTTTCATTTCTCTTTTTACACTTTTGTTGTAGGTGTCACTTTATCAGGGTAAAATTTTAAACAAAATAACATACAAATTATAAACATTCATGAACGCATGGCATCAACTGTGTGAGCCAAAGAATTATATCATTTAAAATATCTTATTTTTTAAACAAAAATACAGAATTGATGTATCTGATTTGTTTAGAAAATTTTAATTGTTTTATAGAATAATGTAAACAAAAATTACAGATTGTGTAAAATTTTACAAATGTGTTGACATGTTTTAAAATTAATAGTTCGGGGAAAACAATCCATAAATATTTAAGTAACTGAGATAGTTCCTTGTACCCCCCCCCCCCCAGACTGTGCAGACAGTACTTCAGTAGCGCCCCCCAGTGGCACAGCGGTATGGCTGCAGACTTAAAACGCCAGAAACCGGGTTTCGATACCCGTGGTGGGCAGAGCACAGATAGCCCATTGTGTAGCTTTGTGCTTAATTAGAAACAAACAAACACTTCAGTAGCTTTTCGCAAATTCACAACAAAAAGAAGTCCTAAGTTATTTACTATCGTTTGGGATGATTCGTTTCAAGAGTATTTCTATTGTGAAATTATGATAAAGACGAGTTGATATAATTTTATTTTTCAGTCCAAATCTTTCTTACATTCTTATTTGAAGCATAATTTAAGATATAACGCATTTGAAGGTAAAAAAATACTTCAGAATTAATAAACTATGCACCATCTTTAATGTCTATGTATTGAATTTAAGATACATAAATTTTGTAATACTACCTTTCATCAGATAACAGTTGTACTAGGCACAGACATAGATTTTCATAAATACCATTTTATACAATAATGTTTATAAAAACGAATAGAGGGCTTACGATCGGAAGTAGAAACTAGTTTAATGTGATTCAACTTTATGTGATTAGTAGTGCCATCTAGCGACGCATACAGAAATTAAGTAATTTCTGAGACTAAAGAAAGTAAATTTTATCCACAAAAATATCAATTACGCTAAGTTAAAATGATAATACTACGTTTTATACCCATACTAAAAAATACTCTGGTGTTCCATAAATTATTATTATGTATTGTTATTTTGAATTCGCATATTTGACGGATTTATAATAACTTGAAGCGTAAACCTTTTTATGGCTGTCAAATATTTAATATACAGTAAAGGCATTATATTATATCTTTGTGCTGTAACTTTAATAATTTTGTGAGTATCAAAACTGTACATCTTACTTGTAAAGTGGTATTCGATTTTAAGTTAATCTTATGGAAATCCAATGCTGTCAAGATGACTCAGACTCGTAATGATCGTTTTCCTAATGCTTCATAGCACCGCCTTTGGCCTTATTTTCTGCCGGTGTTGAGCGAGGCAGTATCCAAACTAGTTTCCCTCACATCTCTGGTTCAAAATATATAGTGTAAAGAGGTTCAACTGATTATATTTTTCTTAGAATATTCGTAATAAACGCAAATGCGGCATTGTAGACATACGCATAAACGTTGAAACTGAATCTGGCGAGGCCTAATTGTTAGCGTGCCAGGCTGGGGCTCGGAGGGTCCAAGGTTCGCGCTGCTATATCTCTCGATATCACCACACTTTCAGTTGTAGGTGTGTGTTATATAACTGACAGTTAAATCTTGTGATAGCATATAGTGCTACCCGCCCTCCGTTTGGTCAATATTTCAAAATTAACGATAGCCAAGAGTCTCTGAATTAACTGTGCACGTATGGATATCATTCAGGATTAAAATCCAGTCATTCTTACGAAAATGTGTGATATAATAGACACGGAGTTTTCATCCGGTTCACAAAAAAAAACGTAGTCAAAGATATTAATTCTGATTTTGAGATACCCAAAACCAGTACCACAAGGACGCAAGCTCGACAGTATACACACGAGTGAACTGTATAATAAAATGTAAGAGATGAGGTGAAAATGATCGTCATGGATGGTTAATTAATGACCTTATTTCAAGGAAAATAAATATCGGTAAACCTTCTTACATCATTGACACACTTTAGGAGATCCATTTTAATTGCCCCCCCCCCTAGTGGCACAGCGGTATGTCTGCGGACTTAAAACGCTAGAAACCGGGTTTCGATACCCGTGATGCCTTCTTACATCGTTGACACACTTTAGGAGATCCATTTTAATTGCCCCACCCAGTGGCACAGCGGTATGTCTGCGGACTTACAACGCTAGAAACCGGGTTTCGATACCCGTGATGCCTTCTTACATCGTTGACACATTTTAGGAGATCCATTATAATTGTTTCGCTTCTCCGTTACATAAAGCCATTTTGTACGTGTGATACGGGTTTGTGCACGTTAATATATGAATTGGAATCTTATTTTCTTAAAAAATAAGATATATATATGTGTGTGTATGTTCTGTATTTATATATTGGTAGCCTCAGATCCCAACAATATATTTATATAATACGTATATATATATATATATTGTAGGGAACTGATGCTACGAATTAGCACATTTTATATACCAAAAATGTCTTTACGTGTGTTGTTGGAACTAGTATTACAAAGAGACATTTCATATCCAAACAATGCCTTGTACACGTACATTGTTTAGAACTCAAGCTAATCATATTATGTATACTACAATAAACCTACATTAGCGTGTATATGCTCGCCTTTTCAGCCGTGGGGGCGTTATAATGTGACGGTCAATCCCACTATTCGTTGGTAAAAGAGTAGCCCAAGAGTTAGCGGTGGGTGGTGATGACTAGCTGTCTTCCCTCTAGTCTTACACTGCTAAATTAGGGACGGCTAGCGCAGATAGCCCTCGTGTAGCTTTGCGCGAAATTCAAAAACAAAACAAATCAAAGAGTCCAATTCTCAAATAGACTCGAACATTGTTTCTGTCTATTTCCAAACTCTTGTTTGTGTGTACACTTCGTACTTGCGCACTGAGGTCGCGTATATGACTACTTAATCCATAAGTAATTAATCCAGAATAGCACGCGTGAAAAAAAAACACTGCAACAGCGTTTCCCTAAATGTAGGACGCCCCTCAGTCGGCAAATCCGTCCCCAACTAATATGGCCGTTTCAATCGATTTCCTCTTGTGAATATGATGTGTGTGTGTGTGTTGAGAAGTTTTTATTAAATTCGTCTGTACGAATACGTTGGGGGGGGGGAGCGGTTAGGGAAGATTCAATAGTGCAATAATGTAAAATTTGATATATATTTTTATTTATGGAAATAATAAGTAATTAGTAAACACACGTGCCATTTTAATGTGTATCCGTGTATTATATCTCGTCACTTAACTCGCTCTTTCACTACGTTAAAAAAAAAAAAGTGTGATCGGGCGCAAGAAACCATATTTATTAAATAGGGGGCGTGGATGACGTAGCAGTGAATAAAGTATTCGTTCATTTCCAAGAAAAATTTCCGTTTTGTACGAGACTTTCAACAATAGAAGAGTCTGTAATGGACACAAAGATTGTATGCGTGCATCCGGGAACCACTTTGGAAACTTCTGAGTCACGTTTTGCACGAACGATTGCTTCGTGAAAGTTTCACGTTTGTTGGATTTTCGCCTTCAACATAAATCGTTATTAAAACAACTAAGTATGTGTGTTCCTTTTCAGGCGTGGAGTCAGTATTGCTCTTAATTTATTTGTATTATTATTTATTTTTCGTAACTGCATAGTTTCTCATGAGAAGGTCAAGTTCTGATAGTTAGCAAGTGGAACCAAAACTCCGACTTGAAACGTTGGGCTCTGA